TTATCCTCGGCTAGAATGTATTTGACACATTAATAAAGTTATTGTTGTTGTTGTTGTTATTTAAATTCTTAAAATGTGATGGTTGAGATCAGTGATCAACTCTACACTTTATGACTGAACTTTTGTACTCAGTTTGAAAACGGATACCTTGCTTGGATCTCGTATAGTGATTTTAGTCCATAAAAGGCTGTGTCACTACTCGTGTTGAAGCCAGACATATGGCTAACTGAACAACTGATCTGTTGGTTGTAAACACATGTCATAATATTTTCATTTCTAGTATATGTTTAAACAAGTTCCAAAAATACTCGTGTCATATTTCAGTTCAGCAATTAATAGAGTTCTTTGAACAAGAGACAGCTTGACATGAAACTTAAGACAGGAACGGTACAAAAAGTTTTCAAAATTTTTGTGAATTTAAAATGTTGTCGAAAGTGACATTTTTCCGCGTGAAAGGAAATGCAGTTGGGTTCGGCTAATTCGAACCCGGTTATTTCGAATTCCCCGTTATTTCGAACTCCAAACCTTTTTTCTTGGATTTGCCCTTCTGCCGTTTACTATTGGCTATTTCGAACTATTTTCTGGTTTCGAATAGCGAGGTCCAACTGTAGTAGAGGTCTCCAGACGGACTAAGAGTTTTACATGTAATTTGTGTGAGAGTGACGGCCTTTTTCCAACATTTAGAGCACAGCCTATTTCCAAATGTCTCCAAACAATAATGGCAGCGCGAACATATTTATTATTTCAATAATCTCAGAACTTGTCAGTCAGTCCTATGATGACAATCTGCACGGAATATTGCCTTCATGACAATGGAAATAATGGACGAACGGTTTTCAACCTGAATGCTATTTTGCGCTGCAGGACGGCCTAAAACACATGTAAGCAAATGAGCAAATAAATAAATAAATAAATAAATAAATAAATAAATAAATAAATAAACTAATAAACAAATAAACAAATAAACAAATAAATACAATTGACTGATTATAAAAAGCCGATCGGTCACAAAAGAAGTCTGGCACTAGCGATTGATAAACAATGGGATTACTATGGCAACAATGAAAAAAGAGCCGAGAGGTGATGTCGAGGAACTTGAAAACTCCGTCATGGCGGAAAGGTTGTGATCGGAGACTGCTCATATTCTTCACTGTTTTGGTTCGCACTAAATCCCCGTGAAACACGTTGTGCTCAAAGGAAAAAAAGCAACTTCCAGTGGATGGTCATTAGAAAGAATATTTAGAGAGTGGACTCGAGGAAAAGTGTGTAGTACAACGAACGCTGTCGATCGGCTGTTATTTGGACGTTGCCAAATCTCTGCTGTGTTTGTACGAAAGCAGGCCGTTGGAAAAAAACGTTGATACCACAAACTTGATTTACAGTTCCCAGGTCCTGATTACTATCGAACTAGCATTTATTTTGCATTGTCAAGGGGGAGTCTGAGTTGCAGAAACTAGTTTCGATTGTGACATCCCTGACTTTGTTTTCTATTGTACGTTACTAAACGTTTTGACTCTTACAGCTGTAGATCTGGTTTGTCCTTCGATAGTAGAGAGAAGAACAATGGACGTGTGAAGGGCTGAAGAGTTAGTGCTGGTGAAAGAAACCCGATAAAGGAAGCCGACTACATACAAGCAAGGTTTCTTGAAGTGTTGCTTGAAAATCGGAATCTTGTCGCCCTGTGTCACTTCTCTTTCTTGTTTTTGATCATTGTTGATCATTGTTGATTTCTGCCGCCTAGAGAGCTTTGGAATGCTCAATTTCGCCAGTGCCTCTTTCCGTTGTCATGACCATGTTTAACTAATATCTCACTGAACGTGCATGGAAATAACCTGATCATCGCTCGATGGAAAAGTACGAGAATTTAGGCTTAGTCGGGGAAGGCTCGTACGGAATGGTGATGAAATGCAGGCACAAGGAATCGAATCAACTTGTGGCGATCAAGAAGTTCATAGAATCTGAAGACGATAAGATGGTGAGGAAAATAGCACTGAGAGAAATAAGAATGCTCAAGGTAAGTTTTGAACTTGTTTACCTACGATAAGAATTTAAGAGTTTACGTACATGCATGCAAAATGCCAATTTCGTTTGAATTTGTGTAAATTATTTACAGATGGTCACGACGTAAACCTACTTTTTCTGCTCTTGTTTACGAACATATATCTTAAATGCTGATTTGAGTTTGCTTAGAAGGAAAAATAGTATTGGTAAAAATGCGATGCTTAAATTTGTTTTTTTGAACAATCGATGGCTAATTTCAAAATCTTGATGATGCAAAGTGGATTTTTAGTTACAAAAATAATAATGTATTAGTTGTGGCTAGGAGCATTTTCAAATCAATTAGTAAACTTTAATATAATGGCAAAAACTACATGTAGTGTTAAAGTTTTAAATGTTCTCTGTGGGGTAGACCGTCTTGTTCTAATCACATCCTGTACATGGTTTTCATTTCCCACAGTGAGCCATTAGTAATCTATTTTTCTCTGGTCCGTCTTAAATGTCGCTCTGCATACAACATCATGATGTGATATCATTTCCGAAAAATTTCCGTTTCTTTTCTTCTTGCGAAGAACAGAGACCTACTAGAAGTTTGAAATCCTTTAATTATCAATATCAGTTTCGAAGTTTCAAATATTTATTATACAATACTTATGTTAACGGAAATTTTCTCTTCAGCCAATATTTTGAGTAGTAAACACCTTCCTTTGTGTTTCATAACTTGTTTGGGGTGAGTAATATAATTTATAACCCCATCAAAATGCTCAGAGCACGCTTGTAGGGCTGGGACTGATATTAAGTTCTGAACACTTTCTATTCAGTATTTGAAGAAGCCCAGCTCCTTTTTTTAAAGGGTTGGCTGTTGTAGAGAGTTTTAACTGCATACTTTTATCATAATTATTTATTAGAGATTCTAAGGAAAGCGACCAATTTTTTAAGTTTAAAAGACATGTTTCGACAGAACTTCTGTCATCTTCACTTGAATGAATGATTACAAAGCAAGTTGAATAATAAGTAGGCAAAAATGCTAATTAAGACAAATAGTAACAACAGAACATGAAAAGGTGTAAATTAAAAGGATACTTTTAGATTTACATGGTGTAATGAGGCAAGGTAGTTCTTTTTGAATATGGATAGCCTCCTTTATCTTGAGTTGAAAGCTGGTAGTGGCGTGATCTAATTATTTGTTACTGTTTCACAGGGTGTAACTTTCACACGTTACCCCAGGAGGGCATTATCACTGCACACCTAATCTCAATTCTGGTCATTTTTGTTTGCATTCACACTGTAATTTTTCTCCAGTTGTTATTTGTTATGTGGTACACTGGCCAGTAATGATACTACCACTGTATGCAGCTTGCAGTGAAAGCATTTCATGAAGTGTTCCATTGTTTTTAATTTTTAAAAGATTCCTTGAATTATTCTTTATAGCAAGCTGTGTGTATAGAAACATGCAATTCCAGTTTGTTGTAATAAATAATTTTTAATAATAATTACTGTCATGTCTAATTACCTCAGTCGATGGGTTTGAATTCTGGCTAGACCAGCAGTCTAGGTCTTGTACACGAAGGAAGCAGTGCTGGGACAATGTAGTTAAACAGTAAGGTGGTCTGGAAAATTCAACAGAAGTCATCTTGCTGGCCATCATTTTATTGACTTTTATGTTGCTGTTTCATTGCTCTGACACATGTCACATGACAGGGCTTCATACAAAACACATTCTGTATTTATATCGAGTCATAGCAACATGAGCGGAAGTTTGAGAGAACGAGAGTTGCTGTGGGAATACAAGCCAATAGGCAAGTGTTTCCACAGCTTTTTCAAGTTCTACCAAACTTTCGTGGTGTTTCTATTAAACAATTAGGTTATGAGCTCGAGATTTCTTTTTCATGATAGCTGACGAGGGCGTAGAACGAGCTAGTTATCACGCATAGAAATCGAGAGCGAATAATCTCATTGTTTTACCTTAATCCTCTTCACAGACACTTTGAAAATGTCAAGAAGTGGCAGTCACTTTGTTAACTAACATACACTAGCATGCTACTCACTCTCTACAACACAATAGATAGAGAGTAGCATAGCCAATCAGAGAACGGCATTCATGATAGAACGCTAGTAGATTTGTACTAAAACTCGATAGAAACTTGGAACAGGTTTTCTATCTTTTAGAAGATACTGTGACGGAAAAAAAAAGAAAATAACTTGTTTACTTTGATCATCAAAATGTAAATTCTCTTTGCTCATGCCATCATTATGCCAACAGCTTGTGCTATTTCTGCGGTTCCATCAAGTTCTAGAAATATAGACATATAAGTTGGTAAGAAGTCATGAAAAGTTTGGTCTTCAAATTTTCTTTGACTTTCTGTTTCAGCAATTACGACATGACAACCTTGTTAACTTGATAGAGGTTTTCCGTCGAAAGAAGCGGCTGTTCCTTGTGTTTGAATTTGTGGATCATACAGTGCTTGATGAATTGGAGAGATATCCTAATGGCCTGGATGAGAACAATGTCCGCAAGGTGTTATGGCAAGTGCTGAGGGCTCTTGAATTCTGCCATAATCATAATGTAAGTATTTTGTTTAATGGGACCAGGGGCAGATCTAGGGGGAGGGTGTAGGGGGTGTGCACCCCCCCCCCTGAGATGAAGCCTTCTAGTTTTGTATTCGCTTTTAAAATTTGTTTACCTTACCAGTCAGTTACACCTTTCATTAGTGGGCACCCCCTCGTGAGAAAAATCCTAGATCTGCCCCTGACGACTGACCAACATATTGAACATGAAAGACTCACAAGTACATTTAACACTTCTGTGTTTCTTCTTTTTGAATTTAGATTATCCATAGAGATGTCAAACCAGAGAACATTTTGGTGTCATCTAAGTCTGGTGTAGTCAAGCTGTGTGACTTTGGCTTTGCCAGAACTCTAGGTGAGTATTATTCATGTACCTTTTGTACATCTTGTTATGATTGTATACTTGTATGTAGTATTGCTGTATATTCTTACTAGCATTTGAACTATTTTTATTTGGTAAACTCATAGTCAAAATAAAAAAAGTTAATGATGAATGTAAATATACAGCGACACTTGTATTTACCAAAGATGTTTGTTAGCAGATTTATTATATAATCAAACATTTCTCTTTACCAAAGACCAAACTTTCGGGCTTAATCTTAACTTCATTGCCTGCTGGTCAGCTGGGCCAGTATCCTTAATTTCCTAGTTGCTGAGGACCAAATAAAGTGTCCCTGGATTTTCTATAGTTGTATTCATATGAATATATACATCTTCAACTTTTAACAGGGTGTTAACTAAAGAGAAAGACTAAAACATAATGTCTTTTTGGAAAACCAGCCATGGCCTCCCTTTCTTCCAGCTGTTTTGAAATGTTTGTGATCTTTTGTTATTATAATTTTTGTTGGCTTCCTGAACATCTTTGTTATTCCTCTGTATTTTTTTTTGGTGGTGGCTCACAACCAGAGAGAAATCTCCACATTTTGTTGTTAACTGTCATGGAAGCTGTAGCATGTGCGACTTATAAAAGTTTGAGAATGTACTCCTCCATTTTATACCAAGCAGTTGTTGGTACACAAAAACTCTTAAAGTGACAAGACATCTCAATGTATCTTGTAACTGACCATTATTTTACAAGGAAAAAAGATCTTTTGTTGTTGTGCTGTAAATTAGATTTCTTGTGCTGGTAAAAAGTGTGGTTATTAGGTTCAAAGTTAACAACATGATTGTGTCTTCTTGATATAGCTACTGGCCCAGGTGAGGTTTACACAGATTACGTAGCTACCAGATGGTATAGAGCTCCTGAGCTACTTGTAGGAGACACTAAATATGGCAGGTAAGGCACAAATCAACTCCAAAAAATATCTACAGTTTCTCATTTACTCATTTTATCGTGTGCTCTCGATTTGTGAGTGTTAGTATTGAGTAGTATTGTGAGTAGCTCTCACAATGGAGAAGCATATTTATTGTGTTATCCACGATCAGATCAACAAAAGACATTATTACACTGGGCATTTTTAACAGCGTGGCCATGGGCCGAGCACGGTTCTAGGTTTACCCGTGGTTTATTATTATTTTTTTTTTTTGTCGGTGACCAGACGCAGACCTCCGCTCAGCCAAACTTTGAGTCACGCAACGTGTGACGTTTTTCCGCCAGAAGCTGTTAAAACATAAACACACGGACAATTTTACGGATATTGTTTTCTTTTTTGTGGGTAAAATATATTTTCTTTTCGCTTTATC